CAGTGGAAAGATTTGTCTCTTTGAAACTCAAGATGGATTGGATATCGAAAGGCATGATTTCATTTTGTTCTCTAACTTTGATGCTGATGCTCGGTTGTACGTTCGGATCACATAGCAAGTTTTAAAAGTTTGTAACGACCACGTTTGAGTTCAATATCCGCATTTGAAACCTGCTCATAGTCATAGGCTCATCTTATAAATATATTGAGTGCCTCTCTTTTATAAACCAGTTTTAATGGCGAGTGTTATAGTTAAGTCCATGTTTGTTATAGATTAAAATTTCAAGTTAAAATCAACAATTATTTTCACTACACATTTTATGGGATCCACGATGTTTTAACCCCATATTTTAACAAAATTTATTAAAAGTTTAATTTTAATTTACACCAAACAGGCTCCTGCTCCTGCTCTTTATGCATTGGCGTTTTGGGTTGATTAAAAGTTTGGTAAATTCATGCCTGAAAATAGTAGAAACCTTGTTAAAATCAAATTGGAAACATCTTCCCCTTAAAATACGCTAAGTGGAATATTATTTGCCAAACATTACCTTCCCATCTGTAGTATCCAATTTTTGACTTTTTTTCATCACCGGACAGCTTGCATATAATCTCCTTTCCCCTCTCTCCCGTGTCTCAATATTCATCACAATAATTTGAAACAGAAGGGCAATACTACAAAACAAATCTAATAAAATAAAACTTATTTTCAAAAGATTTGAAATCGAATATATGAATAATTCGTCTACCATTCAATTTATTGCTATGTTTATTTTCGGATAGAAAAGTATAAAAGTCGGAAAATTAGCACAAAAGCGACTTAGAGTTGAAGGTTGAACTTTAAAATTTTTATACCAAAAAAAAAAAAAAAAAAAGGATTTGTGATTTATAAGGACGCATTTCAAAGGATTTCTGCTTCTACTTACTGTTGAGGAGTTTCTAAAAAACTAAGATGAATTTTAGTTTCATTTAAAAGTCATTTTAATTAGACAACTTGCTTATAAAAAATTATTCATACATGTTTAAAAGTAGCTTCTTTATTTAGAAATGAATTTTTTACTTTCCAAAATCATGTCAAATAGATTGTGAGAAGTACAAGCACTTCATGTATTATTAAATACTTAATTCAGCTTAGAATTAAGTACACTATTAAAAAATATGGCTTCAAACACGGATTGTTCGTTCCTGAAATTTCGATATCCGTTGCTATTACTTTTTACTAACGATATATTTGTAACCGCAAATTCGTTACTAATTTGAGAGTCGCTGATAGTTATCAACGGATCCTTCCGTAAGTAAAGAGTAAACATTTTACCAACGAATTTTTCGTTGGTAAAAATTTTAACCAATACCAACCGACTTTCCGTTGGTAAATGCCTACCATTACAATTGGTAAAAATCAATGTTGTAAATAACCCATATGTGTGAGGCATGGTAAAAAAAAAAAAAAGAAAATTATTTATTTATTTATTATTTTTATTATTATTTATTAAATAATTCTAATTTTTTTTAAACTTTTAGCCAAACGAATTGAAAGGTCAAAATATTGTTTAACCATTTATTGGACCACAAATTAATTTATAGAGGGCAACTCAGAAGACTTTATTGTGAATTTTCGATGTGAGATAAGTGAATTACTTTTATTAATGGATAATGCGTTTCAAATTACCAACGGAATATTCATAGGTGAAAGTTTCAAATGTTAAACGATTACATGAGACGCGAAATATCCGTTAGTAAAGAAATATCATTGTTATCAATGAAAAATTCGTTGTTAATTATCGTAGTTGAAAATGAATTACTTTTACCAACGGATAATCTGTTTCTAATTACCAACGGATTGGATCCGTTGGAAATCTTCGGTACTGTACCTACGGATATTCCGTAGGTGAAAGATCCAAATGTTAAACGGATACATGATGCACGAAATATCCGTTGATAAAAAGATATCATCATTATCAAAAGAAAATTCGTTGCTAATTATCGTAGCTGAAAATGAATAACTTTTACCAATGGATAATCCGTTTCTAATTACCAACGGATTGCATCCGTTGGTAATTTTTCATAGATAAAAAGCTGTTTTTTTAGTAGTGGTAAAAATAACAAATGAATCAATAACTATGCTAGGTTATATTTGTCATGCCAAAAAAACAACTATTTATCATTAAAGTCTGACACACCAATTATGGAAGGGGTATTATAATCATACTATGTTGATTACACCACATTTGTAAGGAAAGTTTTCAATCCTTCCTCTTATGTTATCAACTTTTTTTTATTTTGCCCCATTGTTATAATTAACTTTCAATCAATTGGCAAATTTGTCTATGATGACAACATCTTTCCAAATATTCCATTGACGTGCTTTAAAATGAGCGGCATATATAGGCCTTGTTTGACCTTTTTTTTTTTTTTTTTTTTTTCAAAATACAATTTTTTCTCTCTCCATTTCAACCACGCATTTTTCAATAAAATAATATTATATATAAATTTAAAACTTTTATTTTTTATTTTTTAACAACACATTCTCGATCAATTTACTATTTCAAAATGCATTCTTGGAAATAATGTGGCTCAAATAGGTCCCTAGCTTTTGTATTTCTGTTTTAATTTTAAAATATGAGTAGCAAATTAGTCCTTTTACGTCCTAACAATTTTTTGGGAACTAAAAAGATGTATTAATTAATAGGAAATTGAGAATAAGAATACGATAAAAGAAAAAAAAAAGGTAGAAATATAAGTAGAAAAATGAGCATAATGAAATTTACAAAAATTGTGGTGTGTATATATATATATATATATATTGTATATGCCTAATTGAATTAATAACATTACGAAATGGTCCATATTTCATTAGAGATGTACAAAAAATAGCAAGCTATTCTTGGGTGACAATCCCCTGGACGTCCAGGGGTTGTCCAAGGTGCTTTAGCCATGGATAGCATTGACCTGTCAAGCTATTAAGAAATAAAGTTCGCCATGAATTTCGGATGTAACGCTGATAACGTGGACATGACCTGGCAACAGTCACATATCTTAAATGCAAGTGGAAAATCTCCGCACGTGCAAAGTCCTTGTCAGTTACGGTCAAATTCCGGTGCCCGGCCCATGACACGTGTGTGAGCCTTCTCCTCTCAAAACAAAACCGTGATCTTAGGACATAAATATTTGACCACCGCACTATGTATAATCTACTGTAATAAAAAGAGGACTGTTGCTAATTTTAAGGTGTAAAAATTTTATAAGGAAAAATGAAAAATTTGGATAATTAGGAAATAATTTTGACTTTAATTTTAGTACAACCTTAATTTTTAGATGATTTTATTCCCTATTTGAATCCATGATCAAGAATTTGTTTAGATAAAAGATATTTATTAATCGTATAGACGATATATAATATTAGAAATTTATATTTTTCAATCTTTGATCATGATTATTTAGATATGAGGTCCGATTGCTTTCTTGAGGCGAATGTTTTCTATATATCCTCATAAGAACAACTTCTTGATATATGAAATTTAAATTGATTCCACAAATCAAATTGAAACCATGTCTCCAAGCACACGGAGGCATAAGAATTCTACCTTTCCGTTTCTCTTGCTAAATTTAGCATCTTACATACTTCGGTAATGACCTAAAAAAAAAAAAAATCTTATTTGATGAATAACTATTAAAAAAAATATCATTTTCAATCAATCTAAAGTTTTAAATAACAATTTTGGGATACTCTTTTGAATTATTAAACTAATAATTTGTATAATTATAAGTGATCAAATAAAAAATAAGTGGAGTCTTACCTAACTTCCTAATTATATCAAAACTTTAATTAGAACTATTTCTTGACATTATGTTTCAAATTAGTAGAGTTTTCTTCTCTCCAATAAAAGAGAAAATATCTAGCCTAGTACCATGTTTGGCTTAGCTTAAAATTTAGAGTTTTCTTGTTACTTTAAGTAAAAAGTTATTTATTTTGACAATAAGATAAGAATTACTATCATAACATGTAACTTACTTTATATTCAATATTTTTGAGTGAGAAAATGAGTTTAAAAGTTATTTTTTCATTTTTTTTTTCTGATATAGCCAAACATTTACCATCCCACTATAACAAAAAATTCAAGAAAAGTTGTATTCCATACTCTTAATCAAAGCATGTAGCATTCCAGTCATCACTCTCTCTCTCCTCTCCCTCTCTCTAGAAATTAAGCAAAGAAAAAGAGAAAAGGTTAGCCGAAAAAGCTAACCAAAGCTATCTCTAGCTATAGCACACAGTAAATCCAAAGATCTTGAATAATTTTTCTCCCCATTCCTACACTCTTCTTCAATTTTTCCTCTATGTCTGATGATCAAAACAAGTATCCTTATCAACCCTACAATTGTTTTCATCATGATCTGAATATGGTATCAGGGTTTATGGGATCAAACCCTGTTGGATTTGATCCTTCTCATATGAGCTTCACTGACTGCTTGCACGAAGCAGTGCATTACAACACTCTATCAAGTGCCTTTGACATTTCTTGTTCATCATCTCATGCTGTTAATTATCCTGCAAATGATACTTGTAATCCAAAAAAAGATATCAGTGTTGGAGCGCCATCTGCTGCAGGAGGGAATAATGAAAATCCATTGACGCCGAATTCTACCGAGTTTTCGTCTTCTTCTGCGGTTGGAGGTGAAGAGGAATCCTCAAAAAGCAAGGAAGATCTGCAGAAAAAAGTGTTTGAAGATGAAGAGGAAAAGTCTAAAAAAGCGTAGGTATTTTGGGGGTTTTCTACTTGATTTTTCTTTGCCATTACTATCAAGGTGGACTTTTTTGGTCCTTTGCTAATTTTCAATTTATTCATAATTATACTTATTTACAGAACTGAAGAAAAATAGTAGGATGGTTTTATATTTTTCTACTTACTTTCTTCTTCTTAAATCAATTGTGCTTATTTGTATGTTCATATCTTGAAATTGAAACTATGTATGTATGAAACAAAACCCTAATTTTTCAACAACTATTACTTCAAATCTAGTTCATGGAAATGAATTTTCACACTTTATTTAATTAATTAACTGCTACTTAATTATTTTCCAGGAACAAACCAAAACAGAAAGGGGAGAAAAAGAAACGAGAACCGCGTTTTGCCTTCATGACAAAGAGTGAAATCGATAATCTTGAAGATGGTTATAGGTGGAGGAAATATGGCCAGAAAGCAGTGAAAAATAGCCCTTTTCCAAGGTTATTATATATCTTTAATATCCTGCCCATGATAATTTCTTCACCTGCAGTACAATGCGAAATAATTGATTAGTATCAATATAACTTATATTTCAAGTTTGTTAATTAATGAAAACTTTGATTTTATGCTATGTCTTCAAAGTATTATTGATTAGTACCCCTTTAAATTGAAATTCTTGATTTGATTACTATTACTAGAGAAAACATGCCAACATGAGTAATATATCTCAACAATTGATGTTAAATTAACTTGTAATTTTCTTCAGAGAATTAAGAAAAATTAATATAGAGAAGAATGGAATCTGATTACAGTAACCCCTCTCCTCATTAATGTTGTAGGAGTTATTATAGATGCACTACTCAGAAGTGCTCTGTGAAGAAAAGAATTGAAAGATCATTTCAAGATCCGTCTGTGGTGATCACCACCTATGAAGGCCAGCACAACCACCACAGTCCCGCCATGCTTCGTGGCCAGGCCACCGCCATGTTGGCATCTTCGCTGCAGCCCACAATCCCAAGTTTTCCGCAGGACTACATCCTTTCTCAAATGCTTCCAACAAGTAACCAAAACCCCCCAAATTCCATGTATTATAATAACCTTAATCCTCAGCAGCAACTTCAACTTCCTGAATATAATTTTATGCCTGACATGTTTCCCTCATTTGTTCACAAAGAGGAGCCATGAATTCTCTTTCTCTCGGTGTATTGTGTATTATGTGTATCTAGGCTTGCACGATGAATTGTTAGACTGATTTAAAGAAGTATGGATCACTGCGTAGAGCATTGAATGCAATTATCTTCTTCTTGATGTCAATGAGAGAACTACTTTCACATTTAAAGAAATTATGAAAAACAGTTTATTAATTTTTGAATGTAATACTAAGTTACTTAGTTCCAATTTCGTAAATGAAACTGCTGTTAAACCACTCTTCTGGAAGCTTAAGTTATTGAGAAAAGATGCATTTATTAATTTCATTATATCTTTAGCACGCTCCCTAATGATCAGTCTGTATTTATGTTTACATTTCATAAATGGCTGCAAGGAAACTTGGACTTTCATCTCCTCAGGGAATATGTAGAACGCTTGAACTACCTCATCTAAAAGTTTAAATTGTTCGAAAAGGGATAATATACTTATTTAGATTTCGTCATAAACAGCCATGGACAGAAGGGGATGGACGAGATTAAAAAAAAAGCCAAAATTAGGGACCAGAAATATCTGTCATACCAAGACGGGAAGTTAAGGTTGAAATCATTTTTCTTCCAATTTCGTGCATTAATTGTTCCTCGTCTTCTTAAAGCCGTTCTAGTTTTGCTTATTATTATTTTCCTACTATATATACACACACAAATATATGTTCTCTTGATTGAGATAAAGTGTGGTAAACCTTGTAAAGATTCTGCATATTGCCCGAGAATATTGTAAATGCTATTTTGGTGTTAAGCTAAGCAGAAATTTCGAGTTTTAATCACATTCGGCATATGAGACATTAAGATCTCAAATTCTAAATATAATAAAACCTCTCAAATTGAAGGAGACTGAATCATGTTCAGTTTACTCCGAAGCCGTTCAAAACAAGTGGTACACAAAGCCTTTGTCAATGTACTTGAAACTTGAAAATTCAAGAAGACTGCATAACTTTCAGCTGTTTGATAAGAACTTTTGCACGAGAAAAAAATGGTCATCTATATTAAGAACAGATTGTCGGGGACTGTATGTCCCAACTTCGTGAACAAATGTTGTAGCTAAATAATATTAGTAGACTTGAGCCTAAACCCTATATTCAAACTAAATATGCAACTTTTTATTTCCTGGTGCTCCATTGAATTATGGTGTCTCCACGAATATATATGCAGGAGGCACATGTAGACCATAAGTAATCCAAATTTCTAGCCTACTTTTTGTATCTGAACCCTTCAAGCAGTAATTGATTACAAGTTACAAGGCTTAAAGTGAAGGCTATATAGGTAGTTCTTCCCTTTAGATATATACCTCTAAACCCTCTTGTAAACTTGCCAATGATTTCAGTTAAGATAATTGTGACTATGAAATAAATTAGGCCTCAAGTCCTACAAAGTACCCCTATAAACACATCAACTCTTAGGAAATAACTCAAGGAGCCTAACTTTTCCCGAAGAAAATTTGCAGTTGAGATCAACTACAAACCTTTGCACTAACTAATAGTCAATACCAACTACTATCTAGGATATATATCATCTATTATAGTCCCTATCTATCTAACAATCACTTCTACTTTATTTTATTTTAATGGAGAAGAGAATTATTGAACCATCTTGTCTAAAAACTTAAATTATTATAGAGAAACTTATACAATTTCAGATGAGACATATTTATGTACTTAAATTTAATCTTTAACAAGAATTTCATTCTCACTTGGCATGATTTAACCATAAAATTTATTGCAGATAATCATTTTAGTTATGCAACAATTCGGGGAGGGATTTGAATTCTGAATATTTGAGTCGAGTTCAAACCTCTGATGTGATTCAAGAAGAATTATATTATTTATATAAATTAGGTTGAGAAACTTGGTTTACAGATTATGTTTTGGCAACATCTAAGCCAATCATTTCAAAATAGTTTGCAAACAAAGTTTGTACAACTAGATTAATTCATTTAAGAATCCCTTCATCTGGTACTTTTTATCGTGCTTGATTCCTCCTTGGGACATCATTGTGACTCTCTGTGGGCATGCTTAAGACCGTTTGATGAGTTAAGATCCCATCAAATCTTAAAATTCCTTTGTCACAATATTATGAAGAAATATTTCCAAACATGTCCTAGATTTTAAAATAGAAATAATAATTACTATTTTCAAAAGTATACACATTATTGAACAGAATAATTCAAATATTGCAATGATACATTTGATATACATCATGTGACCATTGTCTTGATTTGTCCAATAAACACGTTCATACAATAAGGAATCATGCCTAGCAAAATACGAGACTAGGGACCATGCTCCCTCTTTCTTCTACACAAGCATGGATTTAATTCTTTTTAATTTTTATTTTTTTTGGTTCTACGAGTGAACAAAAACAGTACTGGCTTATGTACGAACAGCATGACATTGTTGACATTTGTGTTGTAAAGCATAGTATTGGTATCTTTTTGAAGAGTTTTAGTCAACAAAGGGCAGGTTTTAGTTAGGTCGAAACAGTATCAACAATGTAATGTGGTTTCATATGAACTGACATCGATTTGATCCAAGCGCAAAAAGGAAGAGAATTTGAAATTTGCTAATTTTTTTCACAGTAAAATTCAATTTTATGCAACCATGAACTATTGAAAAAATTAAAAGTGGTATAAAATCAATCAATTTCACTAAACTGCCTGTTAAATGTTGCAAGCATATATGCCTTAACAATTTTAATTTGAAAATATTGTCGTAACCCTTCTTTTATAACATTTTCAATTTTTCGGGTGTCATGAAGCAATTAAGTGGAATATCAATTATCGTATTAAACTTGAACAACTCAATCGAGATAAATTTAAATTTAGTAATTCAATTAAAATTTCGATAATGGTAGGGATAGCGAAATGAAATTCGCCCACGTTATAAAATTTGTTCTTTTAGCTTACTCAAAAACTTCTCTTTATGTTCCTTTTTATGAGTAACGTAGATAGTTTCTACAAATTAAAAGTAGTTACAAAGTCAAGGGACTCTTGTAATAAGAACTAATTAAAACGAACTAGACTATCCCACTTTTAATACAATTTGAATTAGAATTAGAATCTTGTCAAAGATACCGAATGAGAGAGACAGGATACCGAATGTGTAGAAAAAAGCATAATCATAAGTGGTTTACAAATTTTTCCAATTTTACCAACTTTAAAATAATTAAATATAATGTGTAAAGCAGCAATAAATTGATCAAATTCATGCAATTTGATGGAAAAAATAAAGTTGTTGCATGCATTTATACGTTTCCATCAGCATTTTACTTTCTTTAAAACTGCATCGAACGTGATATAAAAAGGGAGATCAATTAATATCAATAAAATCTTACATGATATGATATGGACCAATATAAACTTCAAAGCGTTCCTTGCATAACACAAGAATTAAGAAATGGCATTGAGTTCTGGCTCTGGAATTGTTCTTACATTTTTGTTGTTTTTTCGTGTTTCCTTTAGCACCGAAATTCTTCGACGTGATGAACTATGGTGCAGTAGCAGATGGAAAGTCTGATAATTCTTCGCACAAAAAAACTGGTAAAAACTTGGTTACCAGTGGTATATGGGGTGAACAGTATTAGAAACAAGATCTTAATACGGTTATTATTGAATTTGATTAGTTTGGTATTTCATGTGAATATGGTGGGAGAAGAGTAGGGTTTTAATCCCTCAAGAAACGTTTTTGTTGGGATCTGTGACCTTCCAAGGAGGGTGCAAGGATTCCATGACCTTTTTAACTAAAGGGACTCTTAGGGCCCCGATCGATAGTTCCAAGTTATTCACTAACACATTGGATTGGTTTTCAGTATCTCGGCGATTTGGCTGTGAAAGGTGGTGGATCTTTCGATCGATGGCCAAGGATCTGCTGCTTGGGGTTTTGTTTTTTAATTCACAATGTCCACCTCCACCAGTTGTAAGTAAATGATTCACATAATTTTGATCTTCAATAATTGTTCATCTAAGGTTATTGAATTCCTTTGCATTCATGAATTCTCTTCGGAGATTGAGGTTCGACTTTGTGAACAATACAAGAATCCATCATTTACGATCAATCAACAGCAAAAATGCTCGTTTCAACATTTTTGCTTGCAATAATGTGAACATTTTCCATGTTAAAATAATTGCACCAGTCGATTGACACCCCTAACACCAACTGTATCCACATCGGTAGCTCAAGCAAAATCCGGATCTGTCGGTTGATATCGCGAAAATATTTTCATTTAAAATACCGCAAGTGCATGGTTCATTAACAAATAGTAAAATGAATTTTGAGTCCAAGTATCGTACCCACAGAGATTGTACTAGTTCTAGTTCGAATTAATTTAGCCTTAACCGAAACAATATAAATTGTGATTTTTTCTAAAACTAAATTGTAATTAAATAATCTACTTGTGAATGCAAGACCCAACTTTACTAAAATCAATGCAACGTTATAATGAATGCAAGTTTGATAAAAATATAATGATAAAAAAAGTATTAGGATCCTAAATTCCCTTATATAAATTCCTTTTAACTCCATACCTTTGAATTTGATAACATGATTCAATGGAAAAATTCATATTTTTAAAATTGTTTAATAATCTCTCTCGACTAGAATTAAGCTTATCCTTATATGTGACCCAACTATATTTTTATGACGGAAGCGCGTACAAGAATGCTTTAAGGATTCGTGAATACTTAAAGATCACATAGAACATATAATTATTTCTGTTGACTACCGAGCTTCGATCTAACAAAAACAATTTGCTAAACCCACCACAAGCAGATGTGAGTACGGTCACTGCTCCCAGATCGGACTAGCCCGCCATTATCTCAGGAAAACATCATGATTACCTCCTGTCATATCACCCTATCAATCATATATACTTGCCACAAGTGACGTCATCTCCGCCCAAAACCGCCAATTCGAAGCCATGATTCTCAAACCCCTTGCAGGTCATCATTATCTGGGGAAAACATTAACACATGGCCACCTACTTCGTCGACCAATCACAGGAGAATTCGACGACCCGAGTTTCGAGATCAGTACTGTAGCTGATTTGACTGATTTGATGTAATTTCGGATCGAGTCATGTATAAATAGTAGGGCAGAAATCTTGTAAAGGGCAAGTGAATTCATGTAAAAGCTCATGGCACAATTACACTTTCTCAACATATTTTGTGGTTTAT